TTCATTCACTATAGGAATAGAGTGTATATCATTACTTCCCTCTTTTGTAGCTTCTAACTTTGCTAAGAAAGTTAATTCACTAGCTCTTAGATTTTTAAGCACCTGACTAAAAGCAATCAATGAAGAAATTGCACCTCTATCACATTGAAAATAAAATACTTCTTCTCCAGGTAAATCAAATCTGACCTTCTTCTTCCAACATTCAATAGTTGCAAAATGTTTGACTAACCAATCCATTCCCAGAATTATATCGAATTCTACCAATGGAAGTACTATCAGATCTGCTTGAAATTTTCTATCAGCTATCATAAAATCAACTGAACATGTTGTACTGGCATTCAAATAATTACCCGCAGGTAATCTAACATGTAAGCCAGGAGTAAAAGAGACAAGTTCCAAATGCACTTTCTTACAAAATATCTCAGCTATGAATGAATGCGATGCACCAGAATCAAAAAGTACTCTAGCAGATAAATCTGAGATATTTAAAGTACCTGTCACCACTTCAGAAGAGTCTTTGGCCTCCTGGGAAGATAAGGCAAAAACTCGAGCTGGTGCTGATCTGGTTGCTTCACTTAAGTTTTCTCCTTTAATCTTCAAAGCAGATTGATGCATCTGTGGCCTGGCACCTCTGTACTGATCTGTCTTCTGACTGTCTCTAACTTCTGTACCTCTTTGAACATTCTTTGGACAATTTCTCTTGATATGACCTGATTCTCCACATAAATAACACTTTCCTGAATTCATCATGCATCTTCCTTGGTGAGATTTTCCACAGGTTGTACAAACAGGTATTGCAGGTAATCTCAGTGGCTTTTGATATTGATTTTGTTGGAATTTCTGTCTTTTGGATGATCCGTTTTTGTGATCACTTTGTCTCTTTCTATCATTATTATCCCATTTTTGTTTAACCACTTCCATGTCATTCTCTAGAAGTCTGGCACTTTCCACTAATTCAGAAAATTCTTTTATGCGAAGAGGAATTAAAGGCTGTCTCAAAGAATCCCTCAAACCCTTCAAAAATCTGTAGCATTTTTCCTCTGAAGTACTGATGAGCTGTGGTGCATATCTTGAAAGAGCTGTAAATTCTGCTTCATATTGAATAACAGTCTTAGATCCTTGCTTCAGGTTTACAAAACTTTCCTGCATTGCTTGCCTTGCTGATGGAGGAACATACCATTCTCTGAAGACTTGCTCAAATTCTTCCCACATGATTTGTTCTTCTGATCTACCTTTGAATTTCTCTAGTTGTTGTCCTCTCCACCACCTTTTTGCTTCACCCTCTAGCATAAAAATTGCTAGAGATACTCTTCTATTCTCAGGACATCTCATTCCATTTAAAACTTTCCTTATTCTAATTATCCAGTCTTCAGCACTTCTGGCATCAACTCCTCCTTTAAACAAAGGAGGTTTTAGGCTTTGGAAAAGTTTTAAATTCTTATCCACTTCTGCACTAACAGGATCACCTACTTCCACATTTGTACTACCACCAGGAGTGGTAGGAGTAACTGGTGTAACTACAGGTGGAACACCAGGTGTAGCAGATCCCACCATAGACTGCATCTTTTCCATCATTTGCATCATCATATTCATCATCTGCAGTTGCATCATATTTCCTGACATTGCATTCATAGCATCCATTCCTACTGGTGTAGGATTTACATTAGGTGCATTGTCTCCTATTGGTGCCACATTTTCAGGATCTTCAGAAATCCTAATAGGTTGGGATGACTGACCTTCCTCTCTTTCAGGTATTCTTTCAGCCATTAAATCTGTAACACATTACATTAAGAGTTATGCATTTATATAATCATGAATTCCCAATTAGACATTATTTTAATATACTGACATATTAGTCATATTGAGAATTAAACATGGCTACCTATATATCAATGAAATTAGACTCATGATTATTTAGAGTTATTACGCTCTCCTAGGCTCTGTAATAATTCCGTCACATCCAATCTTATCCTCTTAAATAATTCACTTTTCTTATGCTTCCTTACTTAAATCCTCAGAATCTTAAGTCTTCGCTCTGATACCACTTTTGTAACACCCCACAGTACCTCTTAACAGTAAGGT